TGTCTCGGGACCGACCAAGAAGATGAAGCAAAAAGATAAAGACGAGGGCAGCGTAGAAGGGATAGTATATCGCGTAAGCCCATTTCTTCAACTACCAGTCCATACCACGCCCTTGAGCTTTTACCAATTGAAATATGACTCTGTGCCACGATCTATTCCATTAACAGCTCAGCACCCTGAATTCAACCTACCTCGTCATCTCACCTGGTGATGTTGGTAGCTACAGTGCTGACCCCCATAGGTGACTGGCGAAACAGTTACGATAGCTGTGGACGGTACCAAGGAAATTGATCTCCCTGAGCGTCTACGTTTGTAAGCTTATATCATCCGTATATCGAAAGACGACGCTCATGTGCGAGAGATTGAAGCTGGCAAACTCGGTGACTTTTGATCGGTGAGCTTGGTTGTTCGACTTGCTCCACTTCGGTATATCAGATTCATGATGTCAGAAACCATAACCACTTGCATATACAGTATCTCGTCAGCGGGGCCGACACCCTTTGAAAGCTTGACTGGGCGACTAGAGATGAGTTTTGCTTCGAAGACTGCACAAACCTCGGACTGACCAAAAATGTGGAAATCACAGTTGGCTGACAAACAGTATGGACAAAACTCTTGAAAGATTGCGCAAACTCGTACTCCCCTCACAAGGAGAATCACCGACGAATGCGTTCAACATGTCTCTGATCAACTGTTTGTTGGGTAAACAACAACCTACCTGGCTGGACGAGATACCTCCTCGACTAGATCAAGAGACAAAACAAGAAGAATTGATGTTTTTCGGTGAGAAATTGAATGAGGTACAGAAAGAGGCTATTCGGTTCTGTTTGAAAGCCGAATATGTCGCTTGTATACACGGACCACCAGGTGTGAGTACATAGTTTGTCCTTCTCTTTGTCTTCAATCGTGAACTCCTCCCTATCAAACCACTTTATCACTTTGTAACTTCACTCTGTCATGCTTTCTCACAGACCCGCTGTGTACGATCTTTCCGATCTTAAGGGCTTTAAAGAAGATGACTGAAATAACACCTTACGCCCTGATCGGTCAGGCTGACCACCGTCCAGACTGGCAAAACACACACATTAGTCGAACTAATCTTCCACCTCCTGTCTCGACCCGCCTCCCCTTCTTCCTCCCTACCTCCACGTATCTTAGTTACGACACCCTCCAATCTCGCCCTTGACAACCTTCTCTTACGACTTCACGCTCTGGCACAACACCCACCATATTCTTCTGTCCTCCCTCGAGGATCGATCTTGCGTATAGGTCATCCCACGAGAGTACATCGAGATTTAGTTTCTGAAACACTGGATTATCGCGCTGCGAATGGAGAGGATGGGTCGTTGTTGAGAGACATCGGGAAAGAGCTGGATGGACATCTGGGAGATTTGGCGAGGAAAAAAGGTGAAAGAGGGGCTGTCAAGGGGAAAGAGAGGGGAAAGAAATGGGAAGAGATTAGAGAGTTGAGGAAAGAGTGAGTTGTTCTGTTCACCCGTTCTTCTTCTCCTGCTCTTCTTTCCCTGCTCTTTGTCTCCTCGTCTTCCTCATCTGTTTTGGTTTGTCTTCTCGATTTTGTCCACTATCTGGCTTGTAGTATACGGGGAATGTCGGAAAGGCAGACTACGTGTCTTTGATTTTTGGTCGTGAGGACAAGACAAATCTGATGTCTACGGGTGATTTTTTTGTGTCACTGACGAAATAGATATCGTCAAAGAGAAGGCAAAGTGGTCACCAACGTAGTCAACAGAGCTATGGTCGTCCTTGCCACATGTCACTCTGCCGGATCTCGTCAATTAGCCAATACGATCTTTGATGTTTGTATAATCGATGAAGCTACTCAAGCCGTTGAGGCTGTATGTTGGGTACCCATCTTGAAATCGAAGAAAGTGATTCTTGCTGGTGATCCACAGCAGGTAAGCCTCATTCATGCATTTGGACCCCAGTTCTCGACCTTTGACGCTTAACCCTGGCGAAAGAGGGACAGGGCTCTTCATCTTGGGCTCACATCCCTTCATTGGTCGTCTCTCCTCGGTCGGTACGACAGTACACCTTTTACATCATGTAATCTTGCTAACGCCGGCTGGCCAAGTGTACTTTAAGACAGAAAGTGCGCGACTCTGACCACAGCTTCGCCCGACCATCATGAGTAAACCCGGCAAGACCGTTAAACAACCCATCATCGCCCCGTCCCCCGAAGAAATCGCCACTATCTCCACCGAACTGACGAAGGTCGATATCGCCCGTCCTACTCTCACACCGCCCCGCACACTCGAAACAACTCTCTTCGACCGACTCGAAAGACTTTATGGTCCCGGTATCAAGCAAGTCCTTCAGGTGCAATATCGCATGAACGCCCATATCGCTTCTTTTCCCTCTTCGGCATTGTACGAGGGTAAACTCGTTGCTGATCAATCTGTGGCCTTGCATACTTTACTTGATCTCCCCGATGTGAAGGCTGATGAGCCGGACGCAAAGGAGACTCTGGGGGAGACCGTGGTGTTTTTCGACACTGCCGGTTGTGAGTATTATGAGAAAGATGAAGGGGGCGATAATGGGTTGGGAGAAGGGAGTAAGATGAATGAGAATGAAGCTGTTGTGGTAGATAAGTGGGCTAGGAGATTGGTGTGTTTCAATCTCCTCTCGCCATCCACTTACACTTGACCATCTTCGCTTGGGATGGCAATTTTTAATTTCCTGGATGAACCTGAAATGCCCCACACTAGAGGAAGCAACTGATCACCCAGATCGCATCGGGAATTTCCCCCGCGGATATTGGTATCATAACGCCTTATCAAGCTCAAGTCTCTTTACTCTCTTCTATGCTCAGAGATGACTTTCCTGAAATGACTATTGGAACAGTGGACGGTTTACAAGGCCAAGAAAGAGAGGTGATCATACTTTCCTTAGTGAGGTCAAACTCTACTGGTGAAGTAGGGTTTTTGGGAGAGTACAGGAGATTGAATGTCGCCATGACTCGAGCAAAACGTCAACTTGTAAGTTCAACCTTTGTTGTTTCCCCCATCTCATATTTCTCTTTCCCTTTCGTCCGCTTACTCAGCATCCTGTTGAGAGCGAAATGGATGGCGCTACACCTCTCTCTTCCATCTTCATATCCCGGATTGATCGAAGCGAGTGCTAGATATGGACATTGGACGTGAGCTGATGCATAGTGTGTGGTAGGAGATAGCGACACTGTCGGTAAAGGCAGCAAGTATCTTAAATCGTGGATGACGTGGCTGGAAGCCAACGCCGATGTGAGGTACGCAGGCGACGAGATGTGATCCACTGAAAATTGAAGGGCATGAATGGGTGAGTGATGCCAGGGCAAGGTTTCCTCATACCATGACAACTGGATGGGAGTCACTCGCTCGCTGATGCAGAGAGCTGACCCTCCTAACCTGATGCTGATTCTCCATTCTCCGTCCCTAGTACGACCGACTTCATGAAAGTGAGTCCTCCCTCGTTTCCCGCGTCGCGTAAGTTATGAAATGACCTTTAGTGTGTTTACAATCCCTTTCAAGATCTTACAAGACGCACTAATTCTGTTGACCAACCAACTGTCGTGGTGTACACGCTCAACTTTAGTCCGGTCGACACTTACCAGAGCGAGCATCATCGAGACGATATTGTTGGGATATCATGAGACCCTTCCCCCTCCCCAACCCCACCACTGTTCATCTGTATCAATCTTCTCCTGTATTCACCTCCCACTTCGCCACCTTTCTCATCGTTAGGCAGCTCCGTCGCCCCTTCCAATAACCCCTTAAAAGATGTTTAAATGATACCCATCAATCTGCGACGTCGGAAACATTCACTCCATCCCCAGACGAGGGTTCTTTGAAAAGAAAGACGCCTGTTTCACTGGAGGTATTTAGAGGATACGAATGATACGGGACAGCAATCTTTGTGAAGAACTTCAACACCTTTCATACGTTCGTTCTTCATCATGGGAAGAGCCCGGTATGTCAAAGGTACGTACTTCTTGGCGATCCGTCATTTTAATTCTACAAAGGAAGCTGCACGATAAAGCTTAATGAGACATGTCATAGTCTTGGGGAAATTGATAGGGATTGTAGATTCGTCTGAAACGGGCGGGAAAGTGTGAAAATTATAAAGGTCCGTCGCGACCTGTATTTCCCCATCCACATCGCGCTGGCCGCTTCTCTTTCAGTTTTTGTTCAGCTTACATTACTAAGATATAGCACAGTCATAACCAATCAACGGAACAATACTTATCATGATCCGAGTCACCGCCTTGCTCACTGTAGCTATGAGACTTGTTCCTGTCTTCGGACACCCTACTACGGCATTGAGAAAAAGAGATGACACTGCGATTTACATCGCATCCATGGCAAATCCCACTTTGTGCATGTTTTGGTCGATGGACACAATCTCCACCCCAACCAGTCTCTCCTGCACTTTGGCAAGTTGCACCCAAGGCACAACTCAGACCTGGGAGTATAGCCCCGTCGTGGACCAGCAAGCCCTCCTCTACAATGGAGATAAGGGTTGCGTGCTAGGTGGAGATCACATATCGGAATTTATGAATGTCAGTGCTCCAACTCTTTCCTTCTCGTACGGCAACTAAATCGCTGACAGTCAAGTCATCATGTGTCAATCCTCAAAGCGCCTCAAATTCTTTCGCGTACGTTATCTCTACCAATATATCTTCTAAGGATTGCCCATGTCCATACTTTCCACAAATACCACATACCGCGTCGATCTACGATTAAGAGATCATTTCTTTTTGCATGGCTGACAGACAGGTGGAAATGGACACGAGACAGTCTCCTACAGAATGTGGCGAACTCTTCCATATGTCTCAATGGTGATGTTTCGCCCAAGACATTTGGGAGAGTTTCGACCGGTCTATGTTCTGAATCTGCACGTGAGTCTTCCCCGAATGCCGTAGGATGAAACCAGACAGTACATGGACCTCGTTGCTTTGTCCAAGGCTAAAATCTCAGCATGGATCTTTGGATCAACCCCGACATTTTCTTCGCTACCCACTCAAGTAGCCTATCCTGTGTATAAAGACACAGGTAAGAATGTCAGGATCCACGGTACGTTCAAGCAGTCTTTTGAGCTGCCTGTCCCGTCTTAATGTCCATCTTCAAAGTCATCATGCAGTGTAAAGAGCTTGGGAAAATGGCGCACACCCGGTATGAGAATGCACCAGCGCTATCGTTCAGGCGGAGAGCTGTTGGTAGGTTTGGGAAGAGATGACTTATGTCTGACCGCGTCTGCCGTGCCGGGTGATCTCGTCCAGGAATCGGCAATCGTGCTGTGAGTGGTCTATCACCTTGCTCCTTCTCCGTCTGTGATCGGCTCTCGAGAAGTTGAAATGGCAGTACTGTACAAGTGGGATGAAGCGGAGAAAAGGAGATCGCAATACTTTAACCTCAGGCATGAACAGAATCCAGCTGACACACAGTGCTCCCTGTGTGCAAGATTCTTCCTCCATGGCCAAATTTTCCCTCTTCAACGCTCCTCCGTCCAGCTTTCCAAAAAGTAGCTACACCGGCAACTTGACGTTTTCGTCTAACGGTGCTAGCCCCGGAACGCAATATTGCCTCGACACGGGTGATGGGCCGGTCATGGGGACACAGCTTTTGACGTGGGGATGTAAAGGTGGAGGCTCTCAGACATTCGAGTTGGACAATAAATTGCTTAAAATGGCTGGCACAAGTGAGTTCTTCATTCTTCTCAGACTTGATCTCTCACTTTTGTCATTCCTTCCGGGTTTCTACTTGCCTTGACATCAGTGAGAGGTGAGAGAAAAGCGAAGAGCGACTGATCTGATAGACTGGTGCGCTACCGCAGTAGGCCCCGGCGAGCTTCCAGGTGGAACAGGAGACTACAAACCGATGTTTTCAGTGGTTATGGACCAATGCGACTCGAACAGAGCTGCACAGGTGAGTTGTCGCAATCACTTTCTACGTACACATCATTCGATCTAAAGCTTGTAACGGCATGTTAGGTCCGTCCTCGACTTCTTTTTGTACGGTAGAGAGCCGGTGTCAGGATCGGACGTTCCGGTCAGAATGTCTGTAGAGGTAGATTGGCCGTAGAAAGACAAGGACTCCCGGGGAGTGGAGCACATCTGAGACGAGCAAGTGAAAAAGGTTTCACTGACATATCAGCATTTCTACATCGGCACGACTTGAGACCACTGGACACGTGCTCCGTCTTCCACTCTCTCTGATCTTCAAGACGTGAGTCATCAAGATACATGCTCTAGATCTTTGTCACATGATGAATCTGTTGTTGTTGTTGTATCATGCTTCGGATATGTTGACTGCGCGAAAGAGTTTGTGAACGTTAGAGATATCTGTTGATGATAACCTCATATAACAGAGTGTCATAGATCAAAGACGAGACCGTAATTCGTGACAGAGTGATGTCCCCTTCGTCCATTCGACCACCAATCGACCGGCAACTAGTTTGGAGAATCGAAGAATCGGTCAAAGGGCAGAGTACGACATAACCTCCTCTGTCGACACTCGGCTACCAATGCCTGCTTCAAATCTCGACTTTCTGACGGGTGCGAACAGTCAATAACGATCACACGCAATAACGATTCTCATACACCCGTTCCAACCTAGAGTCGTCACCCCCGAAGATTGCAGATATCTACTGCTTGATCGCTTGATTAATTCTGTTAGTATCATCTTCCATTCTGGCTCCGGGTCGACCTACGAATGATACGTGAGTAGGTCATCAATATCAGCTTGTACTAAATCACAGTATTTGTGACGTTGAGAATTTTTACTCGTCCGAACCCGATGTCAACTTTCATCGATCTCGGCGTTAATTACGAGCTAGGGTCATACTACGAAAGGTATGTACAGTATCAATTCAACTTGCTTCGTTCTGAATGGTATAACAACAGAATCATAACGCCTCAAAAATTAGGGGTCGACTACCTTCTATGGTCAATGCACCCGGTACACCCTTTCACCAATGTCGTAAGCTCCGGATAATCTATGAAAGGTACATCTTGGTAAGTAATCCCCCTTCCCTCATTGTCAAAGGGAGCATTACATCAAACCCTGATCTTACGTGTGAGAGTTGTGGGAAGAGGGGTCATCTAACCTTCTTTTTCTTGGCATTTTGAGAACATCCGAGGGTATTAAAAGGTTGTGGAATGGACGAAAGATCCTCATAACGCTGGTCGTCTTGATTTGACTTTATACACTCATCTTGAAAAGAGACTAGATACTGACTAGATAGTTCCGTGACTACTCACTAGCATCCAACAATCATGGTCCCATTGACTGTCCTGATCTGCCTGGTAACAGGACTCGTTTCGACATCGGCCCATCCAGCGCTGCCGTCGCTCAACAAAAGAGATGGGGTGGCCTTATACTTTTCACCCATGACCAATAGCAATTTGTGTATGATTTGGGACAATTCCAAGTCCGATGCCTCCGGTCCAGCATCAGACCCAACACTGGGATTTGAAAAATGTGCGGTCAATAATGGCCAACAATGGAATTTTAACCCGTTGGTCGACCAAAGCGCCGAGTTCGATACTGTTCAAGACGAAACTTGTTGTCTCGCTCTTTATAATGAAACTTCTGTTCAAGTGAGTCATCTGTTCACGACTGCTTAGACACAAAGTAAGATTGTGTCAGGGGGACAGGGGCGTGGAAGATCACTGACCAAGTAGGGCGATTGTGGTGATCCAAACGACAGAACGATCCCTCAACCCCATTATTCATTTCAGTACGTCTTTGAGAGAATTTTCTTACATAATCTTCTTATCAATACCCTACACTTTTTCTCACTCTCCTTGTTAATCAACATTCATCGATGCAATTTCCTGGATTTCATTCTTTGCATATCGTGGTTTGGGTGCTGACGTACAGGTGGAAATGGACAAGAGATAGTCGGATTCAATCTACTAACACCTCGACCAAGTGTATGTCTCTTATGTCGGACGGGAAAAGTCTAGGGGTTGATGATTGTAACAATGCTACTCGTACGTTTCCTTTTCCTATCTCCCCAGAACACATATGTAGCTTGCTGAGAGATGCTGGAGATATTTGACTGACTCATCAGCATGGGCATTCGGAGTTACACCAACCTTCTCTTCCCTGGCTACAGGAAAAGCAAAATATAATAAATTTTCAGATACCGATAAGGGATTCAGGATCCACGGTGAGAAGCATTTTCTTTGCTTTCTTATCATCTCCAACTAATCTTTACCTTCATAAAAACACTTAACAACACTGGCGACCCGTCTTGCAAGATTCTACAATATTCCTGCTTGAACTGATTATAGAAAGCAGTTAAGATTGATGATTCCTCCCATCTGTTTGATTTCCTTTTCTTGAAGGGTCTCGGAGGGAAGGGGTGGTTCAATCCGTTTGCTGATACCATATAGGTTTAGGAAGAGAAGATTTATGTTTGTTTGCATCTGCTCTTTCAGGTGATCTTGTTCAGGAATCAGCCATGGTACTGTGAGTGTTATCCATTAACATTTCTCATTCATGAAGGTAGCAACCAAATTTTTTTATTCATTTCACTTGTGGGATATACAACTACATGATGGATGATATTAATAAGTCAAGGTGAGAAATCACATTCAATCGCTAAATTTTTCAGAGCTCCATGTGTTGCCTCTGACTCACCAATGGCAAAATATCATCTCTTCAACGTCTCTCTCCCTACAAATCACCCCACATTAACATACATGGGTTCACTCACTTTTGCTATGAAAGATAAATCTAATCAACAATATTGTGTGGATATGGGTCCTGGACCCGTTATGGGTACTCAATTGTTAACTTGGAAATGTTTAGGCGGACCTTCACAAACTTTTCTACTGGAAGATAACTCTCTCAAAATGCCAGGAACGAGTGAGCGTTTCTCTGTTCCCATCTTTCCATTCTTACATCTTTCCTTCTTTCCTTCTTTCCTTCTTTCCTTCTTTCCTTCTTTCCTTCTTTCCTTCTTTCCTTACGGACCTTCTTCTCGTCCCCTCCCTTTTCACCTTTCTTATGACCTAGAATCTCATCACTCCCCTAACAGCTCGGTACAGAGTTACTACAGGTCATTTACTATGGTCAACAGGACTTACCACAATAGATTGGTGTGCTCAAGTCATTGGGTCGGGTCAACTCCCAGGTGACGAAAAAGACTTTAATCCAATGTACAATGTGGTGATGAATCAATGTGATCCATCTAACGATGCCCAGGTAAGCTTTTTCCAACTAATCAGAATGAGAATTCGTGCTCTTCACTTGATAAGTTTTGGTATTGAGATCGGGGATTAAACATGTTTGTCATCCTGCCTGAACAATTGTACATAAGAGTACGGATGTTGAACTGACAAGAGCAGAGCTTCTTCATCAATTCGGATGCACGATGATCCGTTTCAATTTATACCAACATACATATATACACAGTACGAGTACGAGTAGTATATAGCAAGCTGATGGACAAAGTAAATTGTTTCTTCTCTACTCTCCAGACTGACAATCAACGAGCCTCTGCTGACTCTGTTGTGGTAGGGCGTTGGAGGCAGCACAGGTACTTAATCAATCGTCAGGTCTAGGGTAACTGCGTCGAAACCTATGTTTTGTTTACTGTTAATTTTTCGTAGTTACTCACACTGCTCTTTGGGTTGCTCTCTCTTTGTTTGATTGGGTACAGTAGCTATTGTTCACGTTTCTTGCTACAATCAAGGATAGCTGAAGAAGTGTCAGGATCACTGGTAAGTACCTAGATACGGGTAAGTCAGAGTCGTACTCTGGTCACCATCTCCTTCCCCCGTATACTACATCACCTGGTTTGTTCCCTACGAGACCGTATAGCCTATATCTCATTGACGCAGACTATCTTCAACGTCTGGTCTTGACCATATGGATCAAAAGCACTCCTTCAAAGGTTGTGAGTGAGGAACGAGGGTACTGGGAACAGGATGTTTGTTGATCAGACGATTGTGGAGAGTGACATGAGGGACCTCAAAGCAATGTTCAGCTTTGGGAAGACTCTCAGAGGGGTTGGCGAGCTTGTAGCCGATGGCGGCGTCCATAGTCGTAATAATGCTACGTATGAACAAGGTTCGTTCCAACGTCCCGTGCGTTCGACGTCACGTGGTCATGAGTAGACCGACCTTTTGTAACATGATGAATCTGTTGTTTTTGTAACATGCTTCGGATCTGTTTGGGTGAGAGGTATTGTGGTGTGTGAGAGACACGTTGACAATTGCCGAAAAGTCTCAAAGGGGTCGCTTTTCATGATCCAAGTGCCAAACAGGAACGAGGTCGAGGATTGGGATGAGGGGTAAGTAGGTTGCAACTTGAACCTTTTTCGTTGACAGCTAACGATGTTACCCAGATCTCATACCACTACTAGCATCATTTGCACACTCTCAAACACAGAGGTAGTTTCCGTGACGTTGAACACATCTACTACTCTCCACTTGACCGTTGTCCCTTGTCATTAGTATCGTCCTTGGGTTAGGATTTGGGATATCCTCTGAGAAATAACATGTGAGTGTCACTGTTGGCAGATGGAACTGACAGACAGGAGAAGAAGTTTCCGAATGGTTATCTCATTCATGGGCCAATAACTACCTTTCAACGAAGTCATCCTCAATTATGATTTTGAATCAATTCGTCATAGGCGCTTATCAATTTTGTTTACGTCGTCTTGAGGGAAGCTTTTAGGCCGTTTAGCTTTCAATTGACAATGTAACCTTTCATCAGTGATGTCGTCCTCATCCCCGGCTCCGGGAGAATCTATTGAAAGGTACGTCTTCAAATGTGACCCCCTCCCTCCTTCTTCGAAAGGAAGAGATATATCAAACCTTGATCTTACGTGTGCGAGTGGTGAGAATCGAGCGGGGTCTTTCATTTTCATCTATGTTCTTGGCAATTTGGAAACGAGCTATGAGAGATATAATGGCTATGGAATCTATGGAAGGTTTCATAGCGCTGGTCGCCTTGATTCAACCGTATACCTAATTTATATAAATAAATAAATAGATAACTGACCGATAGTTGATTAAATAATAGCAACGTATCATGACTGCCCTTCTGGCTTTGATTTTCCTCACAACGGGAATCATTTCGACATTGGCCCATCCAGCTTCGTCACTCGAGAAAAGAGATGATATTTCCGTTTATTTCTCCCCAATGTTCGCTTCCGGAATGTGTTTAACTTGGGATCCATTCATCCATTTAACACCATGTGCCGCTAAGGATACTCAGCAATGGAGTTATAATCCATTGGTGGGCCAAGAATCAACATTGTATATTCAAAATAAGACATGTGGTATAGGAGCTTGCAATCATGAATATTGTGTGAGTTATAACTTTTACTCCTAAGTTATACTCTTGGTACACAAACAGTTTAGTTCACGAGGTAGCTCACGAGACAGCTTAGTTGTGAAATTGACACTTTGACAGCTTCTGGGAACGATAACACATTTCTGTACGTTCTTTCAATCGATAACATCCACCCATATTTTGTCACGAGAACATCTATCTTTTCTGTCTTTTCTTTATCATCAACACTGTCGTTTTTTGGGGGGGTTAAAAATATATGATAAGTTATATGCTGACTTGTAGATGGTACTGGACACGAGACAGTCGACTTCAATGGGCTGACACTCCCGCTTATTGTCTCAGTGTCGTAGGTAATACTCAAGCTTTGACCATGAATAATTGTACCGATGCTACAGGTATGTCTTTCGTTTGTCACTTTAAAAGAATCTCTTGTATCCTGAAAACTTTTGTCAGACCATAATTGAGTTGTTCAACTGACATTTATCAGCGTGGGCATTTGGTGTTACCTCAACCTTTTCTTCATTGGCTACAGGTAAACCAAAATATAACGTATTTGCGAATACCAACAAAGGTACAAGGGTTCACGGTGCGTTTTTATCTTTCTTATCCGTTCCTAATCTCTTTCCATCTCTCTATCAAAACGACATATCCCCATATCTCGAAACCTTTTCATTTTACCTGAAAGTGATTCTTGATGGATATGAGTGAATCGTAAGGAATGATCGATCTCGGAACGAACTTAAACTGATATAATATAGGATTAGGAAGAGCAGATTTATGTTTGACAGCATCTGCTCTTCCTGGTGATTTCTTATCGAATTCACCTATGGTCCTGTGAGTGATATCTCATCTTCATCATGTCTCCTTGAGGCGAAAATCAAAAAATAACCAATAATCCAAGGAATATACGGAGATGGAACCAAATACAAAACATATTCGACTTAGCTGACATTTTCAAGTGCTCCATGCGTTTCCGATAATTCCCTCATGGCTAAATACGCTCTTTTCAACCTTACTCTTCCATCTGATTATCCAACTTCCACTTATACTGGCCCACTCACATTTTCAATACCTGATAAAGCCGGAGCGACGTATTGTGTGGATGTGGGTAATAATCCTGTTATGGGTACCCAATTAATGACATCTTGGCAATGTTCAGGAGGACCTTCACAGACTTTTGTTTTGGATGAAAAATCTCTCAAGATGTCTGGTACCGGTACGTTTTTCTCCTTCTTCTTCCTCTTCTTCCTCTTGTTCTTCTTGTTAGTGTTGTTGTTGTTGTTGTTGTTGTTGTTGTTGTTGTTGTTGTTCATGACATCTTCTTCTGATTGTTGTTGTCATCACACAACCTCATCTTTCTTTCCATCTCCTCATTTCCTCTACTTTACCCACTATACTAATTATAACCTGTTCTACAATCCGTTGTAGAGGTTACTCATAATCTTATGGGAAATAATGTGGATGAGTCACTGACCAGGATAGATTGGTGTGCTCAAGTTATCGGTTCAGGTCAACTCCCAGGCGACGAAAAAGATTTCAATCCGATGTACAACGTAGTGTTGAATCAATGTGATCCGTCCAACCCGGCCCAAGTGAGTTGTTCAACTGTTCAAACCCAAAACACCCTCTTCCCTTCCAACACCTTCAATCATGAGTTGAAGATCTGACATGTTCTTTTCTTTTGCCGTGAGGTCATCACTCACATGAGTCCTATTGTATGGATGATGGACTGACAGACGTAGAACTTTTGGATCAAGGCACATTGATCCCATCTCAAAATGTCTCATCAACCATACACAGATAACATATCATCTCGCGAAGATCTTGTAGTACGCCACATATGTTTCATTGTGCCCGTGAATGATGATGCATTGACAATACCCTACAACAAACAAACAATCCTTCCTTCTTTCCTGACAGTCGATAGCACACACGGCAACTTCGTATTTCTCAACACCACGCAAACATCCGAGTAGGGAAAGAAAGAAACGTATTTCTCAACACCACGTAAACATCCGAGTAAAGAAAGAAAGACAGATATGTCACATGAATCATGAATGATTAAAGTGGTGATGATGAAAGTTGGGCAATTAAGGGATAATGGGGTTTTAGATGGATTTAGCAAACGTTATAAAAGCTGATAAACCTCTAAAAGTCCCTTTTCCTGTCGCTCCGTAATCCACCAACGTTTTCCCTTCTTTATCCCTCCAAACTCCATCTGTATCCACTAAACCATATTGCATAGTGTTTTGATTAGAGAGGAGTTGATCCATCATTTCCGAAACGATTTGCTATATGTCAGCCAAGCCTATTTACTTCCACTGGTTCGCTTGTTTCTGCGAGTAGTGTCATGTTCTAAATCGAAATATTAATGGTGATCAATATGTAGGACGAGATGTAAGGTCGATGAACCAAAGAAAAGCATACGAGGAGGTATGAATTGAAAGAGAGCTAAGGAGGGAAAGCTGGAATACACACCTTCGAATCAATCATGACGTTAATCTCTTGACTATGAAACCAACTTTGACTATCTTGATTCCCATTACCAAGTATCAAAACCTGATCATCGTACGCTGCAAATTTGATATGACAATTCCTTTGTTTCTTCACTGCGTTCAATGGTCTTACTTGATCTTTACCCGTGTACCTGATCGTCAGCTAAGTCACCGGTGACTTAAGAAAAGATACATACCAATAAACTTTGAGGAATTGTTCTTTACCTTCTTTCTTCAAAGTCTTGTATAAACGATCTACTACTTCTTCGTTTGTACCTCCTTGAAAAGGTATGGATTCGCCTTTATCATTGAAGCCTATTCGTTTAGCGACTATGACTGACAGGATCACAAGAGATCTAGTGCACATCTGACTCCACTGCAACGGGAGCAATGCTTCTGATACGCGATTGGGGAATGTATCTTCGACGTGATCAATATAGACGGAAAGACTTACCGAGATCAAGAAGAAGTTCAACCATCACACCCCTCCTACATGCTTGTTTCACACCGCGGACTATAGGTCTAGCGTTCAATGTTGGAGATTGACTACTTATCAATGTCGTTCTCATTCATGTATTCGGATGACTCACATGAAAATACGTTTTTGTGCATAACGCATACCAGCTAACCAAGCGGCATTTTGTGGATTACGAATATCATGATGTCCGGGAACTGAAAGTTAGTTCTCGTAAACATACATCACTCCCGTTTCACCATGAACGAATTGGGAGGGTATGAGGGGACGAGGCGTTTGGAGAGATAGACGGACACAAGGCTGAGGGAGAAGCAGGTGTCAGGTTGGACGAGTCATTTAGCAGGTTGGACAAAGACGAAATAGAGATTTATGGTTCAACTCACATCCGTGTGGTTTACGACAACACATAGCTATAGGAAATGGGTCATGAGGTTTATGAACTATATGCGGTCTGAAATTATCCAATTCGTCTGAATCTTCTACCGTAGCCCAAGCTTCTGACAATGCGCCGGCGTCTGTAATCAGCTGGTCTCCCTCAAGCTTGCACCATTTTGACATTGTGACACGGTAACAGGAACCGTCTGAGACATTTTGATCCATGACCGTTCCTGTCTCCATATTGATCGCAAGTTTCCGGCGTAGATGGAGATGCGACGATTTTATTGGTCGGTGAGACATGACTGGGTCGCACTACGAGAAGACACGGGGTACGGGTTGATGATACGAGACCGAGGATACAACACTAACACGTGGAACGAAAGAGTAAGTGGGATAGAGGGACTGAGTAAACAGTCGAACTCACTAAACTTTTTAGAAAGATGAAACATCCTTCTACTTCCAGCACCTTCAGGTAATTCCGTTTCATGTCTTTCCATCTTGGGAGCATCTTCCAATTGTACTCTCCCTTTCTTCTTTAAACCTTCTTCTTTCACATGACTATCATTCGCTTGAACGGGCGTACTTTCATTTATGGACATTTCATGAGGCATCCTAGCTGTCATAGGTAAACCATCTATCGTTTCTCCCAAATGCTTGGATTCCTCGTTCCACGGTGGATCCAAACCTTTCTTCATGTCATACCCTAATTTCCCTTTTTCCGAAGTATCCATTGGTTCGGCTGTCGTGAGGTCATTTCCCCCTTCACGCTCTGTCGCGTTTTTCTCAGTGATGATAACGTCTTTATCTTTCTCCGATAGTTTAGGGCCTGGAGGAAAGATGATTGGTTCTCCCAAAGATACAGGAGCATTCCGTGATGGACTTACACCTCTTGACTTTGGACCGAATGAATAGTTTCGAGGTAAATGTTCAGTGGAAGTCGTTGGGGATTCAACCAAATTTCCATCTAATAATCTACCCGTGATCATTGGTCGAGTTTCGAATGACACCCTAGGTCCATCGCCTGGACTACGAAGTGGTGTATCTATAAATGGATGATCTGAATGTGAGGGGGATGAACGACCTGAATTTCCCCATATTTGCGTATCTGGATTGATGGTTTTGGGTAGGTTTTCGGAAACTGCCGTAGGAGTGGAAGGAGCTTCTGATGGGTCGGCATGAAGGAGTGCGTTACGAGCTGTATGAGCTGCTGTTTCTGGATCGGGTGGAGCTGTGAGTTAGCATAACATCCTGTGGTCCAACCCAGATGAGACAATGACTATGTAACGCATTCAATGAGGATATAAGTCGATCGAGCAGAAGGGAGAGAGAAAGAGAAAGAGAAGAACTTGATGTTCAACGAAGGTGGAACACTTAGATAATGGGAAGGTGCCAAGACGAAAGATGTCTGATATCATCCGGGTGGAAAGGGAAGGGATGATGAAAAGATGTTTGAGGAAACTTTCATACCCACTTTCTTCTCTGAAAGTCCTTAAAATCCTCTCATTCGCACTCCCCCTTCTACTAGGTCCACGACTATTAGACCTACTCCCAACTCTACTTTGTAATCCTAAACCTTTTGTAAACTCTCTTAATTGTTGTCTTCTAGCTTCGAAATCATCCGCAGGATGCCATTCGGCAAAATTAGCTCTTTGTTGTTCAACGACTTTCTTAACAGCTTCTATCAATCTTTCCGTTTGACCATGTTCTCCATGATGTCTAGCAGCTTCTTCATCCATATCTTTGGTTTGACGACGAAGAAGTATCCTTGCTGCTTTGGCAGCTTTTAAAACTTCGATATCGTCAAAATAAGGATTACGATCTTGGAACAAGTAACGTATTTTACCTGACGAATCTAGTGGAGGTTGATATGGTGAGGAAATACAAGGTAACATGGGAGTCAGACGATTGTACCATGAATGTAAGGCGATTTCGTAGAATGAATCGACTATAGGTCCTTCGAGATGAGTCATGAGTTCGAGATTTGGTCGATCTTGGATATTGTTTGAATTGATCAAGGCGACTTTACGGTCGACTATGAGGAATTTGGCGTGAAAAGTCCCGAGAAGGACTCGGTGAAAGTTCTATAAATGAGCAACAGTGATTATAATCATGGATATGAAAAAGATGTAGGTGCTGATATGATGATTAGGTGTTTGTTGAAAGAAAACTCACCACCACTTCCATATCTAAACCAGGGATATCTTCTTCTGTGGGGAGATTCAATGGGGCCCATTCTTTTGGCAAAACAGGAGCATGTGCGTTCCATAATTGTTCCCATGATCCACGATCGTACATGATTTTGACCACCACCTTTTCTCTACCCGATTTGATCACTTTGGCGGAAAGATCTTTTAATGCTTGTGTAACGGTACTGACCGAGGCTGAGGGTCTGTCATAGTCAGTCGCCTCCTTGTACTCCGTGTAACGACCACGCTGTCTGTGCTAAATCTGATAGCCGATCTGCACCAGTGAAGGGGGGCGGTAGACGACACTCACTGCCAATAATTCGTCACTAAGAACACCTCTTTTTCTGCTCTCACAATGACGTCTCTATAGTGTTGTATGATATCAGGGATAAGCGAAATGATGCTCAACGGCATGGTGGTAGTAGAACCGAGCAAATCAGGAGGGACCAGACCGGAAAGAGGGTCACGCTCCATGGTGGGCATGAGGGACAGGTACATCTAATAATCAGCCACGCGGTCATTAATTGCCTTCCTCTGTCGGCATCAGTCATAGGAGAGGAACAGAGATTGAGAGAATCAGCAGTGATTCTGGCCCGACAGATTAGGAATATGACAAGACGGAGTGAACGGACACTCTCCGTCGCACGACGAGATGGTAACGAGCGTGATGAAGAGATCGAATGGTAAAGAAAGCATGAACTAACCTTCCAGAACAAATCCGAACACTCCACTCCATCCTCTTCCCCGGCAACCTTCCATCCAGCTTTCCTTTTCAATTCCGTCTCCCTGGCCGTCCAATGCCGCAGCTCTTTTTCCGTCATACCGTTGATCACCGAATGCTTCACTTTGAACCTCTTTGCCAGTCTTTTGAGTGGGTTGGGTAGAGGAAAGAGGTGTTTCATAGCTTGTTTGGCCGAGTGATCTGGGTGTTGTGCAAGGTAGGTAGAGATGAGCTTGTGAGTGCCCATCTTTTCTTTCCCATTCCCCTTTTCTTTCTCCGTCACAACCTGATGTGAGGCTGATTCGGACGTGTCAGGATTGTTGGATTTAGACCGGCCGGCCAGAGTGTCCGAGGGGTCGGAGGGATGACTAGGGTCAGATACAGGGTCGGACGATCCAGAATATTGAGTGGGGCCAGGTTGAGGGTGTACACCGGGAGAAGGAAGAGAGACAGGGGTGACAGGCATTGAATGGGTATCTCCAGACGTGTCAGGTTGTTGGGACGGCATGGATGTGTTGCGTGACATGTCGAGTCCAATGGTAGTCAATGGGTTGTCTACTTTGATATCCGCAATCCGTTCTTGTGCTGACATAGAGGACATGTTAGGAAAAGAGTGATGAATGACGAGTATAAGTGGAAGACGTCGTAGCACAGCTTGGAGGAGGTTGATCCCGCCCTTGAAAGGAGGTCGAATGATCGTGTGACGTTTTGATGTTCGAAGACGGAAGAGGTATACTCTGATATTCACACACGTACACGGGGCTTCGAGTTTGGGCACGAGGAGGGAAGAGGAGATGCTTAGTTCACTTTGAGTAAGCAAGGGACGAGGGAGGATAGAAAGCCACTTGATGGATGTGATTGTACTGATCAAGCTGGTCGGCGAACGATAGATCTATGCCTGGGGGAACAGGGTACCAGCCCTGGATAAACGAGATGCTAACTTGTGCTGTGCCAGTACTTTACTACCATAAAGTCCGAGGAGGAAGAGTAAAAGAAGGTTGTTCCAATTATAGTAAAGTCGAGATAGAGATAGATGTGCACAGCTTAGAGTACGACTTCCCCTTGCGTCGGGGTTAGGAAGGGTGAGAGTTACGTAAGCAGGCAGAAATGTCGACCGTGGGAAAGCTATGACCTCCACTTTCCACCCCCTTCCGGCCCTTCGGTCCACATTCCGACCCCCATTTCTTACTTTCACAATCCCTGCATCAACTGGCACATTCATCGTCAGTTATCACTTTTCAATCCGACACAAGAAACAAAGAGATATCTTCAAGAAAAATGTCACAACCTATCCGATGGGGAATCATCTCCACCGGATACATCTCAACATCTTTTGCCAAGGTATCTCATTCCAATCACATCTAGTTAGGTCAGAGCTGAAAGAAAGGACCTTCTAGTAGACCCAGCGACTAGGAATGTACATGATGTGAAACACAAAATCACCGCTGTAGGATCACGTAGTGTTGAACCTGCTGACAAGTTCATCGAAGGATTGAAGAATTCAGAAGGGGTTCATTCTTGGGGATTGACCAGTGGGGTTTTGGATGGAGTGAGGGGTTATGGGACTTATGAAGAGGTTTTCAATGATCCTGTGAGTAACTCCAAGTCATTCATCTTTCTTCATCGCCCTCGTACTCAAGTGTCGCTGGAATATCAAGTCACGAGACGAGCAAGCTGGCAATAGGGTCGGAGTAGAATGATGGGGAAAGATTATTGACCTCAGAACGTGGACGTGGTCTATATCGGTACACCACACACTTTCCATCATCCAAATTCGAAAGCTGCTCTATTGGCGGGAAAACATGTATTATGCGAGAAACCGTTCACTTTTGATTTGGAAGAATTGGACGAGTTGATCAAAATTGCAAAAGAGAAGAAATTGTTCTTGATGGAGTGAGCGTTTCTTTCTTGGCTCTCCTTTGTTCTTTCACATCCACTTTCGATATCTTCATCGATCATATTACTTAGTTTGTCTCACGAACTACGCCAGACGACATGAAGAAAGCAATGTCGGTGGTTCATAATCACCGTATATATCTTCATGCCTTTTCTTGTTGGTTTGAAGTCGAATGGGATATATATATATATACACACCTATCTGATTTATGACCCGATGTAAAGCGACAGACACTCATGGTCAGAGCCGTTTGGACCAGGTTTCATCCTATAGCTTACGCTGTACAAGAAGAGCTTTTCTCTGGAAAGTTGGGAAAGATCAAGAGATTCCAAGCGGATTTCAGTATGGACATGAAACCTGAAAGTGTGTATCTATCTCCTCCTCTTCGCTGACTTGACTCTCCGAGGTTCCATTCATGTACTTCATAATAAAAATATCCTAGATTCAAGGTTGATGGTTGATGAGCAAGTACTGAAACCCAGCGGCGGATCCAAAGCACCGAATGCTGAACCCTGACCTGGGCGGTGGTTCCCTCCTCGACATGTGAGTCAACTCCCTTCTTTCAACCACTCACTTCAGTAGTAACAATGGGCGATCAAATCAGTACATGCTTATCTCAGGGGTCCCTATCCATCTGTTTGGGCAATGTTATGTATGCAACATCACCCTTCTAACCAAAATCGACCTCCAAAACTTCTGTCTTCCTACCAAACCGTTCTCAAACGCACGGGAGTGGATCTGAACTCTCGTTGGTTGTTGGAATGGGAAGGGGTAGGTCAAGGATTATTATTGACTGAAATGGGTGTTAAAGGTTTCGGACCTATGACTGCTTTGATACAATGTGAAGAAGCTGATTTAGCTATTCATTGTGAGTTTCTTCCTTCATTCCCTTCTCAGCCTTTTCTCTCTAAGTTAAGTCTCCACCCGTTCTTCCAGTGGTTCCTAGAAGCCTTGCTCACTCCCAGGGCCTCCGTACAAACCTGAATCATATACAATCCATATTCATCCTCAAAATCGTGATTCTCCTGAAACTCAAGCTGTGACTCATCATGTTCCCATCCATCCTGGTATCGGAATGCATTATGAAGCAGACGAAGTCGCGAGATGTTTAGTAGCTGGGAAGTTGGAAAGTGATAGGATGCCATGGGAAGAAAGTAGGATAGTTCAAGGATGGTTTGATGAAGTTAGGAAAGCTGGTGAAACGGTACATAAGGATTGGAAGGGACATGCGGGGGAGTAAGGTATCTTTCCGACGTGCATTGTGAGAGAAAGTGTTATCTAAGAAATAGATGTTAGATGTGGGGTATAAACCGTGAATGGAATTGTCGTCTTTGAATTCGGCTTGCTTATCTGCTTAGTACCCTCCCGTGTCCTTCATCGATTAACTATAGAGAGAAGATATGACCATGGATACACTGCCGTACAAAACCCTAAAGCAGGCCGCTACGTATTCTAACATCCGTTTAGGCCATAGGGATACAGTGACTAGGAAAGAGAGTGGGGGAGTGGGGGAGGTGGGGAGGAAGGAAAATCAACCTTTCACCTCCTCTTTAAGTAGACTCTTCACCCCTCTACCTCACAACACTATCAACCATGTTTTCCCTATCCTTCTTTCATTTACTGCTCTACTTAGGAACATGCTCGTCAACAGCCAAATCATTCACAGTGGAAGATATGTTATCAGCTCCTAGACCACAAATACCTATCATCAATCCTGATAAAACGAAAGCTTTGATTTTAGTAGATCATTGGGATTCAAAGAAAGATATGTAAGTCTTCTTCTTTCTCTCTTTCTTCTCTTTTCTATATTCCATATTCCATATCTTCTAGATATCTTCATTCAGTATGACCTGATTCTCTGTCTATAGAAATCTTTTCATTCTGGGAATTGAACAACTATAACTATGCGAGTGCTCCCTTTGGGTCTTAGGTCATCTTGACAATGTGAAAGACTGATATTCCTTCACACCTCTTCTCAACATACAAAACATACCTTCTTCTCGCTTCAAGTTCTTCTCCACCTCTCCTCGTTTCCGTATCTCTAGTGTACAAAAGTCCCTTAGAGAAGAATAAATGAGTGATAGTGAAAAACAGGAAGTTACAAATGGTAGTGAAACAAGTTGACATCTAACAAGTTCAGTTTCCAACGTAACCTTCATCTTCTAAATCTCAACACCTCCTCATCTCCTTCAACACCTCTATTACTTTCTTCTTCCCAAGAAGAACTTACGAACCCACTATGGTTAACCAATCATACTATTGGATATCTGAACGGATCTATTTTCTTCACTCTCAACATCTCCCTTGACACTGTCTCGACGACTAAGGAATCACTTTCGGATACTGCATCAACCACTCAGGCATCAATTTCGGAATTACAGATCATCAAGGATGAATACGAGTACTCTAAAATATTGATAGACTCATCATATGAACAAGTGAAATCAGGAATTATTAAGGATGGACCGAATGAATTATTCAGATTCCCCAAAGGTATATCTCCATCTGATTTGAAATACGACCGTAGTAGAGAGATCATACTTTTTTCAGGACAAGTTTGGGATAATGGGGGATTTGAAGATGTTGAAAAGAAGGATAAAGAGTTTGAAGAGAGAGGGAATAGTGGGATGGTTTTTGATGATTTGTTTATTAGGCAAGTCAAACTTCTCTCTTGTACTTTATATATCATCACTTCTATTCGAAACATCTATACGTCGTATGAAACTGCGTTTGTTTCTCTCGTCGTCTTGTTCTAAAATGTGTAATCATTAGGCCAGGCGAACTATCTGCGTCGTTGGAGAAGATTCTTGGGATTTGGAAAAGATCTACCTATTTATTTCTTACCCCAAATTTTTATCTCAAAGGGGCACTTTCCTACCCAGAACAGGGAGGATATGATGATATTGGCATGTCACTGACTTTATAGACATTGGGACAGATGGAGAATACCTGGGAAAACTTGGACCATAGGTTTGGTCAAACTCTCCTCGACTGATCCATCTCCGAAATTTGTCAATATCCTTCGAGATACAAAAGCTGTGAGTGTCATCCATCACACCTCAAAATATCCCTTTTCCTCATCGAAGATCCCATGACGCCTGCCTGATACTCATCCCTCCTGATCATTTGCTGCCACTTTCTCATCACCTTCCCCTGACAGGTTCGAACACCTTAGGTCTCGCCCTCAATCATTTACTCAGAAGTTCTCCTGTATAGGTCTCATCCAACTGACCCCGTGAAATACCGTCACTCACTCCAGATCTCTCCAATGGATCCAATAGAATATACAATCTCACCTACCCATCTAGCGATAAATATCAAACCTTGGCATTTACCCCCAGCTCAACATACCAGAACCGATATCCACTTACTACCATTCACGACCATTCCCACCACCCCTATCCACCTTACGCCATATACGCACGGAGCAATTTCTTCCCTTTCTTTTTCTCCCGATGGGAAGGTTCTCGCATGGTTGGAAATGATGAAAGATGGATATGAATCAGATCGTAATATTGTCAAAACGTATAATCTCTCAGATGAAACGATAACGATTTGGACGGTGAATTGGGATAGATCACCTTCTTCTATTTCTTGGTCTTTGGATTCTACTTCTTTGTTCCTTTTGGCTGGAAATGAAGGGAGGGTTTTACCTTTTCATCTCGTAAAACCGGGTTCCACACCTATACCACTGTGGGATGAACACTCGGCAAATTCAATCGTACAGGTATCCAAGAACAAGTTGATGGTGTCAATTTCGTCATTTTACCACCCAGCGCAAGTGTATCTCCTCAACCTTGATCCTCAAGAAGAAACACGTCATCAATCTAATGACTTTCTCATTCCTAATCCGATTGGAGAGTCTTCAGTCGAATTCATACCCTTCGACGAACACGAACAAGGGAAACTAGAGACCACCCCATCTTCGTTTATCAAACAAAAACAAAACAAACCTCGACAAACACGAATCTTACCCAAGGATAAACTTGTCAATAACAATACTTTACACTCTCTGACAAACTTCTCTTCGCACATCGCCGATAGTCTCAGAGGTGTGGAGGTGGAAGAACTTTGGACAAAAGGAACAGATCATTATTCAATCATGTCATGGATCCTCAAACCTCCCGGATGGCAAGATCAGAAACAACAGACATATCGATGGCCTATGGTTTTTTGGGTACATGGTGGACCTGAAAGTGCTTGGGAAGATGAATGGAGTACTAGATGGAATGCTGCCTTGTTTGCTAAGAAAGGATACTGGGTTGTGGCTGTTAATCCTACGGGAAGTACAGGGTATGGACAAGAATTTACAGAGCGGATTAAAGGGGAGTGGGGAGGAAGTGAGTGATTTTGTTGCTTAGTTCATATATCGTTTTATCTCGTCTTATCTCTTCATCATGGTGGAGTTTAAGTACTGGATACATCACTCTGGGCATTGGATGAGAACCAGAAATTATAATTCTTGCTGAGTGATTAATGAAGTTTGGGTGAGCCGAAATGGATGGACGGTGAGGGGGAACAGAATGGATGCTCGGTGGGTCCTGCAGGGGGAAATTGTGAGAAAGAAGAAGAAAGAGAGAAGAGGAAAGAGGGAGGGGGGAATAAGAGGGAAGAGGAGAATAGGGGAGGAGAATAGGGTGATGATGTAGAAAGCTGACGGGTAGAACCTTATAAAGACCTTTTGGCGGTCTATCAAAATGTTCTTGAAACATATCCAGAAGTAGGTCTTCTCCCCTTCCTCCCCTGTATCTCTCATCTCCTTACTTTACTTCTCTCTTTCTCGCCCTCTCTCCCCGCCGCCCCCACCGAAAACACAAA